TAGCTTCTTGGGAAAATTGCTAATATATATATAATATTTAAAACTGAATGTTTCAAATGAATTAAAAGGGGAAAAAGAAAAGATTGTTTAAAAAAATCTTTAACTCAGAAAGTATTCTTTAGTACAATGGAATAAAACATGCTGGTGAGCTTATCCCTGATTCTGACTCTTTTCTGCATATATAGTACTTTTTAATTATACCTTACTTCAATTCTGAAGATGTAAGAGAAACAAATCCATGAAGAGCAAAATGATAAGCATGAGTGCTGGCTCTGCAGCATGCCTCTGCCACTTATCAGCTGTGCAACTATTCATGGCAAATCAAATAGTGTCTCTTTACCTTCCTTTCTACATCTGTTAGATGGGGATGTGGTAATTCCTGCAGCATGGTTTGCACATAGCACAGTTCCTGGGCAATTATAGTACTCACTAAATAATGTTTTATTATTTATATGCACAAAATGATACCCAAAATAAAACATGATACTATTGTGTGAGATAATAAACAAAAATAAATGGAGTGGGGACATTGTAAAGTCATCAACAATACTCAGTAGGCATAGCAGGAATGCTCCTCCCTCTTCTTATGGAAGAGTATCAGATTTGGCTTTACAGCATCAGCCAGTCCAAAAAGAAAACACTATCATTTACAAGATTCTTATCACCCACAAGAAAAAAATTAAAAGTTGCTCTGAAGTTGGATTCTTTCTGAAATTAAAATCAGTCAGGAATTTCTACCATAAGTAAGGGTTTTACCATAAATCCTTCAACATTATTATTATTTTATTTTTTTACTGTTTTCAGTATCTCTCATGGTTTCTGCTAACTTCCTAACTTCTGATCAAGTTCCCAATGTAGCATGGAGAGGCAGCAGACGGCTGCTCTGGACCCTGGTTGAAGCCCAGTGCCTCCCATGGGACTTGCAGCCCTGCATGCCAACCTTTCTCTACACTGTGATAGAGTAGAGGCTATCATACCTCAGTAGTGGCTGGGCCACTTAAAATTGATTGGTACACCTTTGATGTGTCAAGGGAACTCACTCCTCTGCACCTTTACAAATGTTCTTTTCCTTATCAGAAATGTTTCTTATCCCTGATCCAACTGGCTGTCTCAATGTCATGACTCAAAAATGAAGTTCCCTACTCTAAAAAGTCTTTCCTGACTCTGCAAGTCAAGGGTGAGGCTGCTGAATATCTTTCATAGCTCCCTGCGTATGTCTATATCATGTTCTGGTCCCTAAGAAAATATGCTCCTTGCAGGAAAATTCTGTCCATTTATCTGTGCATTGAAACCCACACAGTGTGTTTAGTAGGTGTTTATCAAAGGAGAGTCCAATGGGGGAAGGAGTGAAATCAAAACTCTGAAAACAATTGAGTGCATCTCTCTTCTTGATTTGCTGCCACTATTCCTCTTTCTAGCCATTACGTGGACAGGCTTGTAGAGGACATGTATAGGACACATGTCCTATATGGCATTGATATTCCACATTTTACAGTAAAATTTTTAAAATAGTCAAAGACACTTTAAGGCAAACATCAGGTGAAAAATGACAAGAAAACCTCACCACTGTACCTGAACTAGTGGTGGGTCTTTAATAGTGAGGCATTTAACACAATGGGATTTTAAATAGAGCCAATTGTAAAGTGCTTAATCTGAATGTTGCAATTAGTTTTGTGATGTTGGAAACTAAATTATGAAGAAAATAGCTTATTAGTCATGAATATACTGTCAATCATCTCTTTGTGGTCCATTTAAAAACTCAGAAAAAATGAATGTGAAATTTGATTTAACTACCAGATATTAATGAGATTAAATAACTTACTTAAAGTAGCAGCTTTTAATTTGAGCAATTTTAAATTGCAACCTCTTTTTCTATTACAGTAATGCCCTTAGGTTTCTCTAACTTATATAATATAAAATATTAACTATATAATATCTGATATTAATTTACTTAAATGGATTTGGAATGCTATTATTTTATCAAAAAGAAATGTCAACCTTTTATACAAAACCATATTCCTGGCCTACCGTACTGCCCTATGTGAGCATTATAGCAAGGTCTATGTTGATCTCCTATATATATATGTATCTTGTTAATGACAGACATCCAAATAGTTTACAACTTATTCTATATTTTTAAAATGAATACAAGGTGGTTATCTACCAACTTTAGGTCATTTAGATACTAGAAGGAAGAGAAGATGCTGAAAAACAGTGTTGATACTTGGACTGGAAAAATCAGAAGAACAATCTATGTGATGGTAGGCTGTAGTACACTTACTGGACCAGTAGTGAACAATTGGTAAAAACAATATACTTACAACTATACTTTGAAAAGACAGAATTCTGTGTGAAAACCATCTTTAGACATAAACACCTAGAACCCCCAAGTGAGAGGTGCCCTACCTCTATCATCTTCAGAGACATAACTTATTTCAGGCTTTCTATCCCCTTTTCTATAAATATCAGACAATTGATCTCAATTTTGAAGCCATATATTTTAATTATCTGCTAACGATTCATGAATTCTCCAAAAGCATTTGATTTCTATTGTACCAAAGTCAATCTATAACATTTTGTAAAGGTATCATTGTCTCATAGCCTGACTTGAACCAACAGCCCCAACCATTATCAATTCTTTTCTACAATCTTCATTTAACTGATTTCTTACAATCATTTTTAATTTCTCTAATAATGTCCTAAGAAACTAGAAAAACTTTTAAAATATTTAAATTAGGCATGCCATTCATCTGCTTAATGACTTCAGTGCATTTCCATTGCCATTAGGGTAATATCTAAAATCCTCTTCATGCCCTTGAAGGCCTCAATATTCTGGTCCCCCTACATCTCTCATCTTAACTAGACCCTGCTTTCCTTCTCACACTGGTGTCTTCAGCCACATGTCCTCCATTTGTTAATATGCTATCATCTTAGCTATCATAAAGTTTTTCCTGCATTTGTCTGAAAATTTTCCTCCCATTCTGTCCTTGACGTGCTAATTAAGTCTCACCTTAAATGTCATTTTTTTAGAGGCCTGTAGACTTTTATATGCATATATTTTGCATTTTTCCTTTGTCACATAAGTCTTGCTTTAGCAATTTTTTACATGTCTTTCTCTTGCACGAGACTTTAAACTTCTGTAACAAGAGAAACCTTGAGATGTCTGGCAACCATTATATTCCTTTGTTATAATTAGCCCCTAGGAAAATACACAGTAGCCACATTGGGTACCTCTGAGCAGGAATGCATCAAATATCAGCTTATCAGTTCCACTGAAGTTTTTACACTGTAAGATGATGGTTCTGAATCTAAGTCCAAGGTCAAGAATGAGCATGGAGGCCAGAGGTATAGGTTAGCAAGTCATGCATAAGTGTCCTTCTATTGATATAGGGGGAAGAGATGTAACTCCCAAACCTGCTAGTTATCAGAAAAGTGGTTTCATATTCTCTAAAACTGAAGAATGAATTCTAGGAACAATGGACGTTAAGAGTAGGAAAAATTTATTGAGAGAAAGAAAGCTTCTAAGAGAGACAGAAGGGCAACCGGAAAGTGGGTTGCCCTCTCACCCAACTTCTCAAAGGTATTTTAAGGGACAAAGCCATGAGGTGAGGCAGGTTCAAGGTGGAACAAAATTGTAGTCAACTAGTACAACTAGTACTAGATTACAAATATAGTCACTTAGGTAATATTGAATAAATGGGGATTCAATGCAGAAACAAGTCATGTAGCAAGTATACAAGAAATGAGCAAGGATTTTCAGTGAAAAGGGGTGGGTCAGAGATCTTTCTTGGAAGATCCTCGTCCCCCACCCAGGTGATACCTATTTAGAATATCAATCACTGTTATCTATCTCTAGGGAAGTAGTACCTCTTTTCCTTTTTTTATAATTCTAACCAGTGAATGTGTCTTGATTGTCCTCCATGTTGGCTCCTTGACTGTCCTCCATTTTGGCTCCTTGTGGGCTGGCCCTGTCTAACTGCCTACAAGATATCTAATTAACTTACCTATCTGCAATACTATGACCAACAACCTGAGTTAGTAAGACACAGAAACAAGAAGAAAATAATGTTAAGGTAAAAATAATTCAGAAGTGACAATAATAATTTCACAGCTTTAGGTACCACTTGACACAACTTTCCTCAAATGTAAGGAAATATTCTTCTATGCGCTCTCTCTTTGTATCCTTTTCATGGTAATGCAATTTCTTAAGCAAATGAAAACCTCTGTTGACATACTACATGTGTGTTGAGAGCCTCATGGTGACATAGGAAGCCCTGGATGTTTGGAGAAAAAGATACACCCTACCATAAAAAGTCTTCCTCATCAAACGCTCCTCAGGAGATGAATAGCCAACCTCATTTCCTCATCTGCACATTTCCCCTCCACCTTTTGTTCTCTCCTATTTCTTTGCCCCTTTTCTCATTCTGTCTTCTCACTGTCCATCTTTTCCCTTGAATCCTTGAACTCTGTTCTTTATCTCTATTTTGCTTTCTTCCATCTTGCTAAATTTTCTTTAAGTGAAATAATTTCTTTAATTGAAATTTCCTTAAAGACGGTTTTAGTTTCCATCTTATTAGGCTAAAAATAAAAGATGATGGCACAGATCTGAGCATGGGTGATAGAGAAAACTGGATCCTCTGGACTCTATCATATACTTATGTAAATAGACACTGTGAAACAACGTGAGGTGGGGAGGTAACAGACAACACAACCAGAGGGGATCCTGAGAAAAATGTACTTAAACAGCCTTTTCACATTCAATGTAAGCTATAAAGGATTGTACGGAGCACTCTGCAGGAACAATAATAAGAGCTGTTAGGCAATCTGCAATTACACATGTAAAATAACATATTTCTTGGAAATATTTAATTTGAAACCCTAAAATACCACTCTTGAAAGGAAGTTGTCTTTCCTGCCAATAGATTACTTTCGGATGACATGAATGACTGTGATTGTTTTTAGCATTTCACACCAATCATATCTTGCATTTATATTTCTAGGGAACTGAAGAGCTGAAAAACCTTCACAATGCAGCAGAAGAAATTACTTCAGCCATCACCAAGACGGAGTCTCCTCTGGGGAAGGAGCTGGCATTTCTTTAACAATGCATTATGCCTCATGGCATTGGAGAAGAGTTTGAAGGCTGGCCGGCCACTCTGTTGTGGCAGCTCTCCCAAACCCTCTCACATCACACTCACAGTTAGTCTTCACCCCATAGATTTTTATTCTCTGAGCATAACTTCTTACAAATAAGGCAGCTTGCCACTCTGCCCTCTTGTCAGTTGTCAGAAGCTTTACTGATTTATGCTTTGGAAGTATATCTAGCTGCTTCCCCCTTACAAAAGTAAGAAAGTAGAAAAAGAAATAATTTCTAAACAGGGGCACTGGTCCTAGTTCTATGTTTTTAATTCCCTGGAAATCCTTTGAACTTTGTTTCAGGTGCAATAGCAAAAGTTACATATTCATATTTGAATCTGTCTCTGATTGTTTGGGTAGTGATGCTGTGAAATTTTCATTTGACTTCTGCATTGAGAAAATAAATCACATCAACAGATTTTAATTACTGTTCTATGCTCTTCTAAGAACTGGAAATACAGGTGTGAACAAAATGAAATCTATTTTCCTAAGTTCATATTTCAGAAGGGTAGAATGACATTAAGCAATAAGTAAGTTATGTGTTGGGTAAAAAACACAAGGTAAGAGAACAAAGAGTGATAATGGTGTGAAGTTCTGGTTTATATAAAGTGGTCAGAGTGGAACTGCTGACAAAATGACATTTTAGTGAGACCTGAGGGAGTACATCCTGATCATATGTATATCTGGAGAAAGAGTCTTCTAATCAGAACATCAGTTAAAACAAGCCTGGACACTTAGTCAAATGGAAAGCAAGAGCAAAAGGGAGAATTTCAGAAGATGAAGGCAGACAATTACCCAGGGGCTAAATAATAAAAATCACAAATCGTGAATAAACTCAGATGTTGTCAGAGCTAGGATTGAGGAATGAGAAAGTCATTTACATGTTTCCTGCACCACTCTGGTCAGCCGGTGGAGAACAGACTGCAAGCAAGTGTAGAATTACGAGGACCAAGTTAGAAGTCCTTGCAATACCCTGTCGAGAGACAAAGGTGCTTTGAGCTTAGACTTAGCGCAAAAGTGGAGTATCTTATTCTATAAGAGAAAGGATTGAATGGACTGTAACTGGGGGTGGGGGAGGGGGTGAGAGAGACCACCCATGCCATGGCAGGCTTTGTGCAAGTAAGGAGGCTGGTTTGATTTTCAGTAGTGTGAGAACACACAAGCAGGCTGATTATGGGAAAAGGGGACTCAGTCACAAGCATGTAGAGAACAAATGTTTTAAAGGGGAAGTGAAGAGTTTGCTGCCCTGAGGAATTTGAAGGTGGAGAGTGTGATGTCAAGCTTCTTGGGATGGGTGCTGGTTGCAGGTGTTGTCAGGCTTCCTAGAACAGTAGCGATAGTGGCTGGGACTTGATTTATTGTCTTTGTTCTTGTTTATGGTTTCCTGCCCTATCTGCCTGGAAGGGCCTTGTCTGTCTCTGGGCATGGCATGAACAACTTACATAACAAGTTAAAAGTGGAAAACAAAAAAAAGTTACGACTGAGTCACAGGGAGATGATTTACATCTTCACAAGACCCAGCTACCCTAATGGGAATATATAAATTATCTTTATTATGTCATTGTTTGCTAGATATCTTTCAATGTGTGGCATTTCTTTGCAACTGAGGGAAGAACTTTCAATGTTCCCCTTTCTGTTAGTATAGTTCTCTCCATCACAAAACACTTCTTTATATATTTCTTCTTTTACCTTATAAATGTAAATACACAAACAGGAACATAGGGACACCACAGCAACAACAATAACAGCAGCAGGTTTACTTTTAATAGGAAAATACTCAACTAACAACTTTATAGAAAAATACCTCATGCGCTGGAGAGAATAAATGTGTAATTGTATCTAAGAATAGCAACGAAGCTGTGCTATTAGTAAAGCTACACAAAGCTATACATGACTGGGCACAGTTATCCACAAACTTTGTTCATCCTTTAGCAATAATTTATTCATACACGTGGTAATTAGTTTTGATCACCTATTATGTACTAAATATCTTCAGAGATGCATAGAGAAATTGACATTCTAGTGAACAATTGGCTATAATTATAAACAAATTCAGTGATTAAGTGTATATTAACTCTTATTCTTCTTTGTGAGATATATTAACATATTACTGGATTTTTTTCATGTTCAAAAGAGATGTCTTCTTTCTCAGGAGTAATGGAGGCAAACAAGAAATACTAGGCAAATGGAAAATATAGTTGGGAGATACTCATGCCTATCTTTCTCTTTTGGTTACATTTTCTTTGTACTTCATGAATTCTGCAAACATGTTTTCAAGAAGACAATAAAACAGGCATTCTTAACTTGGATTGGAAAGTTAATAAATTTCTTGCATTCAGGAGCACATGAAGTTATAAGGAAACATTAGCAATTTAAGGCATTTGGCAGAGGGGAAAAAAAAGAAACCCAATAAAAACAAATTGAATTTTTCAGTTCATGTTACCAAACAGTCAAAGGGGACAGTTAGTTTCAAGAAATTGCTGTTCCAATCACAAAAGGATACTTGGGGCTCTATCATCCTTATCCCCACAAACACTCATATCCAATCACCTGAGAATCCCAAAGAAAGAGGACACCTTCCCCACAGATTCAGGGAAAATTTCCCTGAAAGACTGTCTCTAGTTCAGCTCAGGTCCTCTGCCTATACTGAGGTGAATCACTGAGGTAAGGAAGATAGTACTGCTGAGGGGAGAGGCCTGAGTAAGATGTCTCATTCTCCTCATGTGAGGGGTGGATCAGCTCCAAATGTGTCACAAATGAATTCTTGCACTGAAAAGAGAATACTTTACCTTAAGAAAGAAGAGTGATAGTGTTCCCCAAAAGCAAGTGATGGGCTTGGAATACACATGCATATTTTGACAAGGAGAAACAAGTGCCAAAAGCTTTCTTCAGACTCAAAAGGAATTACATGATGCCCGCCCCCACACTCCAACAAATGTTTAAGTAGCCTTGTACTAAACGTTAACTTGTTACCTGGAGATATAGAGAAAGAAAAACCCCAAGAATAAATATCAGGTACTATAGTTTTCAATACAAGTAGGGATTTAAACCAGCATGAATATCCTTTTTACAAATAACCATAATTTAACATGAAAAGATTTATTCAGTTTTTATAGAAATAGTGATCATAAACTTCCAGAAATCTATGGTGAACATAAACTCTGCTTCTGAGGAGGTGAGTTGCTTTAATTTGTTTGTTGTTATTTTCTTCTTATTGTAATCGATGAGTCTTGCAACCATATCATATGGTATATAATCACAGAGACTTCATTTATCTCCCATTTTCTCTTTCCAATTCATTCATTTAGGCAAGTTCTTCACACATTCATGAATGTAAACCTAGGCACTGCCAAGACTTAGGTAGTAGCTTTTAGGTGAGAGCTATGGGTTCTTTAAATCATCAGAGTGTGATTTAATTAAAATTCTGATTTTTATTAAAATTTCCTTGGGAATCCTGACTTTCTGTCTAAAGATTTTTGATAGGCACCCAGCTTGCATGTGTGGACTACTAAAATATCTTAAATAAACCCAACATATAACTCAGCCAGCATATTGAACAAGTAGGACTGGTGGAATCCAACCTCAAAGCAACCTTACTTTCTTCTTCCCTGGTTTTCACCTTTGCTTACAGAAACTAGCTTTCCCTACTATCTTGAGTAAAAGCTGCTTGGTTCTCAAAACATATTAAGTTTCTTTAAAGCAATAACATATTTGATTCTTTCCTTAGAATGTCCAAATTAATAAGAAAATTCAAGCTTTTACTTTCAAACTTACAGTTACTCAGCTCCCTGCTAAGGCCTACAGAGAGGAAAAATACATGAACAAGGGAAGACAACATTTTAAGCTTTTGTTTTCCCTTTGTTGCTTTATTGTACTGCTGACATAATTTCTTAAACATTCAAAATTGGAGCATAGGGAGGGAGAAAGTTAGGTGGAAGGGTACAAGTGTGTTTGATTATTACTGTCACAGCTGGTTCTGTGCCTGGCCTCTATTTAAAGCTGAAGTTTTCTTTTGGGGCATATTTGTTGGTTTTTTTCTCAATAGCTAATGACCTTTCACTTGCCATATTCTTGATTTGGGCCATGCATTTACCTGGTGGATTCTTTTTTCTTAGCCCTTCAAAGTCTGGAAATTCACGTTGGGCATGTCTGTGTTGAATTCTTTTCCCCTCTCTGAAACCTTCTTCATCAGGAATCGGGAAAATTTCACTCATTTGTTCTTACCATAGCCAAAGTTGGATTCCAATGGCTAATTTGCTCCTGGCCCCTCAAATGCCAGACATCCAACAGAGCCACTTCATTGCTGAACTTTCGCGTACCTGGTGGAAGCAAACAGCAGTCATTAGTGTCCTCTAAACTCCTGGCAATGAGAAGGACACATTTCAAACTCTCAAGTTGTATTTGGATTTGAAGGTGGGACCCATCGAATAGCCCAAGGAAATTCTGTCTCAATATCCAATACAATGGACTTCTATACTCTATTTTGGCAACATATTACATAATTTATTTTCAAGTATTTCCTTGCATTTTATTCTGGTTTTGCATTTTGAAATATCACAATTAATTGACCTTGACGAGTCAATATAATATTCTAATTTAACAATATGTTTATTTTTAAAAATGTACTTCTCATTTTGCTACTACTGATATAATCTACTTCTAAATAAAACAAAGTGAAAATATAGTGACAGGGTGGAGTGTCTATTCATTGGCTTTAGAATTTGCCTAGGAGACTGATGGAGTACACCAGTGTGTGTGTCTGGATGAATCTTTGTGCCATGGTGTTCAGCTCTAGAGTTTGTCCTTCACACCTTGTTCTCTGGCACTATTTCCCTGCTCTGTTTCTGCCTACCACGAACTGAGCAGCTTTGCTCTGCCACTCTCTTTCAACATGAAGTTCTTACCTCAAGCCACCTGATCACGGACTGAATCCCTCAAGGCATGAGCCAAATTAAACTTCCTTTAAGTTGTGAGTGTCAAGTATTTTATCCTAGTGATCAGAAAGCCAACTGACAGAAATTTGGTGCTAAAGAAATGGGATCCTTGTTGTAACTATATGTGACAATGTTGTTTAGAAGCTTTTAGAATTGGTTTGAAGTAAAAGTTTGAAAAAGTTTGAAGTGAGGCTAAAGAAACCTTAGATGCAGTGAAAATACCCTGATGGATGATTCAGGAGAGCTCAGAAGGCCATAATGCTGATAAGAACATACATAATAAAGGCAAAGCCAAGGAAATTTCACATAGAAATAAGAATTCTATTGGCAGTTGGACTAGAAGCCATTATACTTTAGCAGAAAATTTGTCTACCTTTTGTCTATGTCCTGG